GGCTCGATCGGCACGCGTTATACAGGTCTCATCGGTTCCAGACGCTAGTGGGACTAGTGGACGACAACTTCAAGAGCAACAATAGGCGCGGAGACCGAAGCAGCACTCGAGACCGAAGCGCGTGGGAGGCTGAACGGTACGTCGGCGTTGGTGATCCTATAGTTTCCATACGGTCGCTGAGATGTGCGCTACGACAGTGTGCTTCCTCCGGGAGAGATGATCGAGTGGCGATGGGCTTGCCCTAGCTATGATCCCATTTGTACGGGGGCGTGCAATGGTCCCGCTGCGTTTAAGGCCGTGACAGCGAAGTTGTAGCGAGCGCGCGGATGGTCTTGGGCGCGGTCCTGTATCCCATCATTGTACTGTACCACTCAATGAAATTGTTTGCACTGAAGTGGGCCGGACGACTCGCAGGAGGTGGCAAGGCTGGCGTAGATTGGTGATGATGAGCGTCGAGATGAACGCGCGTCCCGACGTCCGAAGGCAACTTGCTTCTTGACGTTCATCTTCCTCAGCGCTCAGCGCTCAGCTGCCACGACTCTGACAGTCTACTTGCGCACCCTTTCACATGCCGGCTATTGCTTGTAACATGATCAATCCTATTTTCGCCAGTTGTGGTCGTGGCTTGCGCATGGCTGAGATGCCCCGCCGCCCGCGATGCGATATCGACGCCGGGCGTCGAGTTCTAATCTAAGTCTCATTCGATGCATTCAGCGGTGAGAGCTGAGATGCCAGCACAACGTAATCCTCTCCATTCAAAAATGAGAGCTCTTTCCTGCGTCAATCTGGAATAGCTGATGCCGAGGCAGCGCTTAGCACGGTGTACTATTATCACACGTACGCTTGCACAGTGGCCTCGTATTCTCTTATGCGTACGACGTACTTATCAGAAGCGTTCAATTCGCATTGGTGAGCAAGAACCGATAAGCTTGCTGTATCCTGTCTACCCCTAGAGCGTATTGATCTTTGACGCGGCGGGGATGTTCCTATAAAAAGTACGCTGAAGCGTACTGCTTTGTTTTGGTCGATGCCGGTCAGTGCCGGGTCATCCTCATGATGTTTCCTAGTGCTTGAGATGACTTCGTCATGGCAAGTATGCCACTGTGCTCCTCGCGGAGATCCCGCATACGTCGCCTGGAAGCTCACGTGAGCGTGAATGCAGCAAGGCAGAACGATAGCGATTGTGTCTACGCACTCGACTCTTGCATCCATCGCACCACGATCACTCTCGCCAGAGATACAGGTCAGCTGGTAACTCTTCAAGTCCTCACCTGCTTGATCTAATACGCTGCAACTCGTAGATCGTGCCCTGATCTTGCCACTTGCGCCATCGTCCGGCAATTAGTAGATCTTCACCTGGACGACATGAAAAGGACCGGGATTTGGAAAGAGCTGAACAACGCCAAGAAAAGGCTCAAGAGAGGCCAGGGAGGATATGCCGAGCAGCGAACGGGCGACATACCTGTCGATGTCACAATTGGTAGAAACGACGCTGGCGAACGTGTGCGATCTGTCCACCGCGCTGATCCAGCACCTACTGTATCGTTGGACTCGCTGGGCGACCTTTCCAATAGGCCTTCGGCTAAAGAGGCCCCTCATGCTCAGGATAGGCGCATAGAGGTTGAATACGAGGATGAGGTCATCGGGGACGACGCCGCCGGCTGGCAAGACGAACCTGACGCGTTGACCGAGTCTGAGCCTCTTCCGCCTCGCGCGCTCGAGGGCGATGCGCCCCAGGGCGATGTTCCTCAGGGTGATAAACCTGCCGAGAAGCCTGACGCAAAGAAATCAGCTAGCGTATGTTCGAGTACCTCACACGAGTGTCATATTGGCGACTGACTATATCATCTACAGCGCGCACCTATCTGGTCTTGGATCGGCACTCGTATGGATGCACTACGTGAGATACTGCGACTTGACGGACGGGCTGAGGCAGCCGCTTTGGCTTCCGAGAATCAGTGTCGCAACCCCAAGTGCAAAGATAAACGCGCCCAGCGCAGGTATTATCGGTGCATGTCTGGTTGCATGCGGTGCGACTGGATGTGCAGAGGGTGTATCGTGAAGAAGCACGCGGACATGCCTCTTCACCGTGTCGAGGTAAATGATCCCTCATCTTGCTCGCGTTCGGAAGAAATGCTAACGAGTTGGCAGATTTGGCTGGAGGGACACTGGCAGGAGATTACTCTGAAGCGCCTCGGTGTCTCCGTGAACTTTGGTCACAACGGTAAACCGTGCCCTCAGCCACGGCGGACTCCCGTGGACGATTTCGTGATCTTGCACACGAACGGGATACACGAAGTCAGGGCGGTCTTTTGCGGTTGTACTCAGGAGTTCGTGCCCATACGCGATCAGCTCATGCGCGCTCGATGGTGGCCAGCAACCTCAATCACTCCTCAGTCGGGCGCGACGTTTGAATGTCTCGATGCATTCGATGCCCTGGCGGCGACGGGAAAGACCAACGCGTACGAATATTATAACTCGTTATGTCACCTCTCCGACGCAACGGGGCTGCATACTCTACCTGTGAGTACATCCACTATCAGAGCACGCGCCACCGTTCTTATGCATTCCGACCTAACTAGGATCGTTACAAGGAGTTCGGTAGGATGGCACACGAATGGCGTCACATCTTACAGTGTAAGCGCGCGGGTCGCGGCCACGATCGCTTCGGAGGTATAGAGGAAACTGCCGAAGGAGATTTAGCCGTACTTTGTCCCTCATGCCCTCACAAAGGGCTCAATACCGATATCACGGAACAAATAGCCGAGCTGTCTCCCGAGCTCCTGGACGCTCTTCCGTGAGTAAATCATATGGCCGCTACCGAGCGTGTGCTCACTTGACGTTAGGCTGTTTGAGCTGGTTATGCTCGCTATGGACTGCAACTTCAGAGCTAGAAATCGAGCGAACAAGTCGACGGACGATACAAGCCCGATGCTAGGGGATGGAATGGCGTACATGGTACCGGACAAGGACTACGACGACTTCACTGAATATAGTCAATACAACCAGGAGGTGCGTTCATGACCGTGCGCTTAGAGAAACAAGTCGTCTAACGAGCACGCGTACAGATGAGCACCTGCTCCAAGTTTGGCGCCATGATCTTGGCGAACCTTAAGAAAGGCAAAGGCTATCGCACAACCGGCATTGGCGGCGTATTCTGCTCACGTCACGGCTTCTGGTGGCCGAATTCGGTGGGGACCCTAGTGAAAGGCGAACGGTGAGTATTGTTAGGGACACAGCGCGACGAGAATGCTAACGAGATGACCATCATGACAGGTATTGCACCATGGACTACATCTTAGCGTCCGTGGCGCGCAGACTACGCACCGAGAAGTTACACCTCTCGTATGACATTATCTGTCAGTACGCGCGCCACTTGGAAGCACGGTTGCGAGAAGTACAACCGGACTCGTTCATCTATGAGGGCGCACAGAAGCTGCTCAACGAAGTGCACAAGGTGTACGCGGTTCCGAAGTTTCATAACCCCGGCCACAAGGAGCTCTGCCAGCAGTGGTTCAACTTGGCGTTGCAGTTGTTCTGCGGGCAGACCGATGGCGAGGCGTCTGAACGCGCATGGGCTGGCCTGAACCCCGCGGCAACGAGTATGCGAGAGATGGGACCGGGAACGATGAGAGACACGATCGACTTCTACTGCGGCATGTGGAACTGGCGCAAGACCATAGGACTGGGTGAGCAGCCAAAGCATCGGACTTGTACGGTGACGCTGACGGTGACGCTGCAACTTACAAGGTCCGTTCTTGTTGAAGAAGCTCGAGATCGCGCTCGCGGAAGCCGACGATCATTGCGATATTTATACTGGGCTGCGTGAGGTGATCGAAGACGAGAACAAGGAAACGTTGGAGGCGTGGCTGGGCTCCGTGATTGCATGGGAGAATAGAGACGAAGAGGGAAAGTACGAAGGGAGGGTTGTTCCCAATCCGTACAAGCCAAAGACTAAGCGTGAGTGGCCGACACGAAATTGTCCTATGTTGAGGTTTGACCGTGAAGCACAGCGATAAGCTTGCATCAAGCTCGATTGCGAAGCGCACAAGCTATGAACGATGCACTGTTGAGCGTGGGTAGCGCGGCAGCGGCAACTCAGACAAGCGAGGCTTCGGCGGCAACACCGGACGTAACCAATTTTATTCTGCTCGGGTTCAAGATCGAACTCATGAGGTATGTCTGCAACCTATCTCACACAGAGGCCCGAGCGTGATGTTAACGAGCATCGTAGGTTTCGCAATGCTGCCGTACGCAGCACTAATACAGTTCTGCAGAAGGCGGAAAGGACAGAGCAGAAGAACGAGCTTCTTCGTCACGTCCAGATGTTCCGTAAGCAGCAGCAGTGGATAATGCCGCTGGTGTACGCGGGCTTGAAGGAGCTGCAGGGTGATGATGTGGACCGGGGAGAAGGGGAGAGTGGGGAGGACGACGAGGACGACGAGTTCATCGCGTCGACTGATGGCGAGAGGCTCGAACAGGAAACCGCGCACACGGACCTATGGCTTCCGTCGGAGCTACCGCGGCAGCTGGCCATGGACCACAACCGCGATGTTCTGTTTGAGGAGATTCGCCTACGCTGGGGTGGTCTCTCGGACACGATCATCATGATACGCCAGAACCTGCAGATTAGGGGCGTGGTGCATAGGTTTAGAAAAGGTAACACTCGCGGCCAGAGGCCGAACACGCGTGCGCGAGGAAAGCAAGCTGTCATCGAAGCGAACCTCGCTATCGCCAAGGCGGCCTATCGGCTACACCGCGTACGATTCAAAGCGCTGGCGGAGATGCTGTCTCCCGAAGAGCGCGCTGAACACGTTCCGCACGATTGGGAATCTAGATTCCAGATTCTCGAAGATAGCGACTGCGTCGCACTTGGATCAAAGGTGCTCCTCCAGATGGAGGAGGCGGACATCGCACATGCTCGGGCCATCATCGCTCACCGTAAAGGAGGAGACGCATCGGGCAATACACACCACAAGGTATCATGGCTATGGTACACGACCCTGGATGGCGCAACTCTGGAACTGAACGATGGTACGTACAATAGTCGTCGTGATGATTAGTTCTGACAAGCTTTAATGCCCCATTCAGAAATGCGCGTGGAGTTTTTGAGGTGTCGGGCTAGGGCGATGAGATGGGTGGAAGAGGTATATCACCTCAGTTATGAGATGGCTCGCACTCCCCAGTTCGCTATGGGCAAGGCGGAATGGTGGGCTGGTAAGGCACTGCTGGAGATGCCAGGAGCGGACCCCTTGGTCAAGGATGGGACTCGGGCGTACGCGAGGAAACAGAGCACAATGTTCCGACGCCAGTGCGAATCGCTGCAGGAACAGTTCGCACAACCGCTGCAGAATGCGGCCGGCTTTGTGAAGACGCACGGACTAGATGGGCTTCGTAAAACGTAGGCATACATGTAGTACTACACGCTGTAATGGATATATGAATGGGAACGGGTGAGGGGGACAGCGTGTTGGGGTGAGCGCGCGCGTGCTGCGATCGCGCGTCCGCTACTTGACAGCCGCCGTCATGCCGAAACACGCCTCGGACGAACGAATCGACTTTCCCTTTGCCAGCCACACTCTTGCGCGTGCGCTAGCCGTCCTGCTCGTACACTGGCGAATCATCAACATGGTTAGAACCGAAGGGGTGCGAAGGGATGTTGGATTCCAGGCCAGGGTTGGGGGCGATGTGGGAGGCAACTTGGGTGGGGCGCTAGGGTTGATGTACTCAGCCTCTCCCCTTGCCCTCGTACAAAGTGCGTTCCCCAGCGCGTAATTTTATTGCATTGTGCTCATTGAATGCTAGCGGTCTCGTGTCGTGTATGGGTTCGACACTCGGGCGCGGGGAGCGGGGAGCGGGGAGCGTCGAGCAGGCGGGCTCGGGCGGTAAGATGCTTCACTAGCACAGTTGGTCATGTCGTACCATATCATTTATAGTACAATATGCCATCTATGCTATAGGACGCCAGCCATATATTGCAACGCAGAGGTGGATTAGTCAGACAGTCGTCGGCGTTATCGTTGGGTCCACAGGTTAGCACAATAATTAGCGCGATGTACTATGGTACGCACAATGCTTAAACAAGGACGGTTGGCTGAGTCGGTAATCCGCAACGGCTAGGCAAAGCCAGGGGATTCATTGGTTCGAATCTTGAGCTGGCTATTGGATTTTTTCCCCAGATGCCGGCCTTTTTTCGGCCTCGGCCCTAAGGGCCCGGCCGAAAGGGGGGACCCTTCCGGTCGGGCCCTGTGTTCTGATACGACCCCTTTCGTAAGTGGCCCCCCCTGCTGGTGATACGGAACTATGTGTACATTGAAGAGACATATGGCGAAAGGATTGAGCGGAAAAGGAGAAATGAAGGGGCGATACCCGCACCGTGACACGAACTAAGCGGCGGAAGCACCCTTCTTCTTTGGTTCCTCCTTCTTCTTCGGGTTAAGCATCTCGCGCAATGCACCTACGTAGAGATCTGCATTTGATACAAGGTACCACGTCTTCGAGTTGGACCACTCGCCGAGGTAGCAGAGAGTCAAGGGGCGACTCCCTTTCGTGACCGGGTTTGTTGAGATGAGGGCGCAATCGCGCGCGAGGGATAACATGATATGTGTGCGCGGGACATGCATGAACGTAGTCGCATGCAGCGTAGGGCAGGCAATTGACTGGTATACATTGCCGTATGCTGGGGTGAAGACCTGGGCTCCCACATACGATGGCGCACCAACACTGGAGATCTGTGGCGTGTAGTTGTGGGTTGCGCCCTTTGTGCCACTATTCGTATACATGGTGATAACTATAGAGAAATTAGAGGACGGAGAGGGAGGATTGGGGTAAGATCACATACCTTGCCCGAGAAGCATAGGCGTCGGCTCGTCTTGACGCCCAGGACGAAGGAAAAGGAACCAATCACCGGGCACGAGGGGACAGTCGGCTGATATGTTGGCGGTAATGACGTTTACGGAGCCTGGGACCTGTAGCGACGAAAAAAAAGGTGTGCGAGTAGTAACAAACTCCTATTTACCAATCAGATGCCTGACACAGCTGAGTGTGCTTGAGATCACGTACTTGAGCGGCAACACCTTGAGTAATCTGCTTCTGCTTTGCACGAGCAGAAGTATCTGGCTCAGCGACGAAGACACCAGTATGGCGGATGATGCGACCAGTACCAGACGTCACACCAGGTCCAGACTGAATCGCGACACCTTTGGCGCGAGCTTTGCACACGATCTGTTTGCGCAACGACTCTTTGGGCGTGTTGCCGCTCGCCTCGCCTTCCTTGGGCTTCCGACGCGCGCGGCTCTTCTGCCCCTCAACGACTTCGGCAAGAGTGAATCCAGCGGAAGCCTTAAGCTGGCAGACAGCACGCGAGGTCGCTCGCATCTGGTGGCTCTTGCGAATAGCGACGAGAGCCTCACGGTTCAAATCGGTGGAACTGCCTTCAAGATCGTGGACAACGTGTTGTGCACTGCCCACTGCTGTATCAGACTGGACAGATCAGCCGATATAATAGCTAGTATGTACAAGCACAACATACCAGCCCGAGCTCTTGTAGAGCTTGCGCGATGGTCGTCTGTAGTTCGGCCAGCTCGTTGGGATCAGAGTCCGAGAGATCAAGACTGTTCAACAAGTTAGCATGCTTCTTTAAGCACAAAACCGGTTAGACATACATCTCCATGGTTGCATCAGTGCTCTGAGCATCCAAAGCGTACTGCGCCATGTCCTGTGCGTCCTCCAGCACGACTGACGCCGGGGAAATGAGGGGAAAGCCGTTCAAAAGGTTGTGTAGTGTGGTGTGCGGCTCATGTGACCGATCCGTAGTGGTAGCGCCGTCGTCGTATGTAGGGGGCTTGTACGCCTCGAGCATCTCTAAAGCCTCAATGCCGATGGCATCACACAGCATCGTGACGTCGCGAATTGCGCGTTGGCTCTGCGAGTCAAACACGCTGTTCGGCGGAAAATTGCAGAGAACTTTGCCGTTGTAATCGGGTGCAATGTGGTATGTTGTCCAATAGCCCGCGGCCGTCACATTTTCCTGCTCTTCGGGTGCGAGATCCTTAAAGGCACCCATCATGAGTGTACGAAGCTTGGGCTCGAGCCATAGCGCATCGGCGAAATTGAAGTCCTTCTTGAGCGAGCGCAGTACTCCGAAGAAGTGCTCCAACATTTCGGTAGAGTGGAGCCAAGGAAGTAGTGGGTATGCGGGATAGAATTCGCGGTACACCACGATAAGCTCGATGAGGCCGTCACACAGGCGCAAGCAGATGTCGAATGACTCGCGGGAGATGAAGTGAACGTCATGACGGTGATCGGGATGAGCGTCGACATGCGCGTGCCACACCATGAGGAAATATCGTGCACGTAGAGCCATGCGTATGCGTTTGGCGTGCGAGATATGGCGGTTCTGCCAGGCATTGATAAGTTCGCCAAGAACAAACAAGTAGACGGCCATAGCGCGATGCTCTGGGAAGTTCAGGAGAAGGCAGTCGAGAGCCTCGGCTGAGAATAGGCGTGCAGCAGCACGATCATCCTGCTTGTCGACGCGTTCAACATCACGTAAGTAGAGCGGAGACGTGGCGACGTTCACGAGCATGAGCAGCATGTAGTAGCAGAGACAGAACAAGCCTATGACGAGTAGGCGAGCACCGGTTAGAATCTGATTGCACATCGTCTTGCACATGTGCTTCGAGTCCTGCTGGATGGTGACAGGAAAGCCGTTGATGAGCGCCACCTTGTAGTGTATGGTGCTATTCGCAACAGGGCCGAGTTGAAGTCGTTGTGAAAGTTGCAAGTTGATGGAAAAACTTGTTGAATGCAAGTGAGCAAATTCAGAACTCTTGTAACTTGTCTCATGTGTCAGCAAGTAATAGTCAAACTTGCATGTAACTTGCAAAACTTGCAAACTTGATAGCATTTTCTCATGCCTAGACCAAGTGCAGTGACAGCTAATGTGCACGCGTAATGCTCAGGGCACATGGTTAAAAGTCTCGGCAAGTGCAATACCTACTATTTGGGTGACATGTAGCTAGACGAAGCCGCTGGGCTTTTTGTGTAAATGCTTATTGAGTTTTCCTTCATTGCAAACCCTAACCCTAACTCAACCCAAACCCAACCCTAACCTCTAACCTAACCTCTAACCCTAGGCCCTAACCTTAACCGGTACTTCTATGCTTCCAACGTGGTGTTTGTGACTTCAAACGGCCCTCAGCAGTCCTAGCAGCTAGTGAAAGCTATGCTTTCACTAGCTCCCACGGGCTGTGAGGGCCTATCTATTTGGATATACTATGACAAAAGGACTCATAGACTTGTCAGATATAGATACAAGCTATACACATACTTGGCATCCACACAGGGAAGCTAACAGACATATTTTTGTGACTTTAAACAGCTAAGTAAGTAGAGTATATGTGCCAATTGCACAGTTAACTTAATATGCCTGTGTAGCTCAGTGGTCTAACACACTTGCTGAAACTTTCTATGAGGTCAGGTGTTCAATTCCTGCTCATGACAGTTTTTTGTTACTTGCACTTACTCTTCATTGTTTTTTCTAGCCCTTATCTAAGGGCTGTAGCCCCCGTTGAGGTTGGAAATAGGACCATACTATTTTATACATACTTTCTAGCATATTTGGGTCCTATTTAGTAGTCATATTGACCCCTGACAGTCTAGCTGTAGAGCAAGTAAGGAGTTGTGGATTTGCTTACTTGCATTCAACGGGAATTTCCATAAACTTGCGGTTACTTTCAGTCCATCCAGTATAGCGGGGCCATTGATCTTGAACTCGAAGTAGTCGGTGGCGGAATCGTGGATCATGCGCTGAAGTGACCGCTCTGTCTCCGTGCCGTCTGAACTCAGCAACACCGGGTGTATGCCGTGGACGTGCATCAGGTCGATCAGCTTCTGGTGCATGGCGAAGAGTTGCCCGGCACTCACATTTCCCTCGCGTGCAGAAAGAGCGACAAGGATGGGTGGGATGCCAATCAAGGGAATGGCGATAAGCCATGCACGCATCTGTGAGGCATGGGATCAGAACAAAGCAGTGCATACTGCAAGTATGTGTATATACCTTTGTCGCGAGCTTCGTTTTGGGATCAAGAGCGCGTACCATAGACTCGATATCTCCCTCGTTCCGTACCTCCACCGGACCGGCTGCCCCGCCAACAACGACACAGAACTCCGGTGTTTGTTGCATCACCGTCACCCCTTGCTGAAGCTCGGTATCATCCCATCCAAACGCAAGTGGTCCGTTGTAGTCAAGTTTCTTGAGGTACGCGGCCACACCCTCGATGTTTGCAGCAGAAAAGCCTGGCTCGAAGCGTGGCATTTTGGCACGGAGTTGCCTAGATTACGATTAGTGAGGTTTAAGAGAGGTGGCGACACGAGTGACTAATCGTAGGCTGCTTTCCGTGCGACTGCCAAAGCTCTTGCGGAATGTACAATATGCGTGAGGCGAAATGGTGAAGAGACGTTGCATGAAGCCGTCGAGCGCCTCGGAATAACGCATGCCGACCATAGCTTTCCCTCTACGTGCACGATCCTTCTTGACGACGAGAGCTTCGATCATGCCAATGACGACCGCCTGGTCTGCGTACTCTCCATCGACGTAGCCTTGCGCAAAACGGCGCATAAAACCCTTGCCATTGTTCTATGATGTACGTTAACTCGACAGCTAATATTATGAAGGTGTTAAACATACATCCTCCATAAGCTTCTTTAGTCCATTGACACGCGCGTAGATGTTGCCAAGCTCCTCAGAACGGTACAGTTGGGGGACGTGCTTCATGTTCGCGTCGTCGGGAACGGGCCAGTTGAGTGCGTTCTGGAATGTGTGCAGTTTCCGGAGGTCGTGGCAGTCCGCACACGGTAGGACCTTGTCCTCAGGAGTACCAGCAGGCGATCGCGAGGTACCACAGCACAATTTGGAAAAGATGGCGCCACTTGCACGAGAGTTCAACCACTTGTACCGACTCTCCTCACGCCGGAGAACCATGTGTTGACGCGACGGCGAGAGACTGGACCACGCACAATCCTTGAGTGACAGGATGTGCCCGAACAGCTCGAATGCGAGTACAAGATGGCTCGGCGCCCCACCCCCTGTTGCACTAGAGCGGTACAAATACTGGTCAATGAGTTTGTTGCATTCTCGTCGAAGACCCGGGCAGGGAAGAGGAGGGCCAACGGGTGTCGACACAGGCTGGGGCTGTTGCGGCTGTGAACGAAAGAACGATGTAAGTGAGACGCTAGCCAGGCCCAACGACTGTTTCTTTTGGCATTTTGGCGTGTTCCGGTGCTCTTTCCAGCGGCCAGTATCATATGGCACACGCATGCGAAGCCACTCGCCGCATGCCGAACATCTAACAGCACGAACATCCTTCTCCTTGAACTCCGCGTGCCGGTTATCCTCAAGAACCTTCTGTCGAAAGTTGTCGAGCCGTGCAACGCTCGGTTGGAACTCCCCACTCGACACGGCCTCGTTCATGCCCACGCACGAAAGACCACGACCTGCTGCTCCCATCTCCACGGACCCGTCGCTTTCCAGCCGTCCGACGTGCCTCCTCACCCGAGAGCTCGTCATCAGATGAACTCGACTCAATGGCGATATGCGGCCGCTTGCGGTAGACGGTTGAGGTCGTTGGCTTGGGCCCGAACATCAATGCAGGCAATTTGGGTGATGATGAGCGAGAAGGCGGGTAGGATGAATCTTGAGACGAAGGAGACAGAGGACGCGAGGACGTAGGTGGTTCGGAGGCTTCGTCATGAGCGTCCTCATCACTGAAGTCTGTGTAACGCTCGCTGGCCTCATCATCGAACACAAGGGGAACATCCTCGAGACCGTTGATGAAGTCTCAGCTTTCGTCGCCGTCACTATCATTGTCTGACGAACTAGAGCCCGAATCTGAGAATGTGGCCTCGTCATCATCAGCACCCGTATCCTGTATATGAATCAGTACAAGTTGAGGGAGGAGATGGATAAACTAGACGTACATGATGGAAGGGAGCAGCAAGCCGAATGAACCAATCAATTCGGGCCTCGCGTGCACGTGCAGGAGTCCAAGTTGAAGTACCAGCATACCGCGATGCAACCGTGTCGAGGTATATGACGCCACAGGAGTGCCCGTCTTGCTGGATCGGAGCGACTATAGTAGGCTGCTGTGCTGGACGGAGTGGTCGTGGAAGGCGCCCGCCTGGTCGAAACTCTCGCAGATAGCAGTTCAGGAGCTGGATATCGCGCTCGTCGGGGATACCACCCATGCTGTCGATGTAGGTGTACGTCCAGTCGGTGACATCGACATGGTATGCCGCCCAATGGTTGCCGCCGGGATTGGCAGGGACGGAAAATGCTGAGATTGCACCCGTCTCGATACCGCGGTCGAGAGCCAATGCGTGGCGTGGATGGTAGTTTGTGCGCACAGCCCGTGCATTCCTGAGCGAGGGGAGGAGGTAGACATTCGCTAGCGCAGTTGACACCAGAACACCCTGGACTGCGGCCTGAGCTGCCATATGACAAATGGTCCAGTCAAGACCAGCATTGAGCATCTCGTCATTGAGCCAGCGATTGCTCAAGAATGAAGCGAGCTCCAGTGTCAAGAGATGAACAGCGGGGTTCCCAGCCAGCACTCGTGCAGACCACGGTATCTCGTCAAAGAGAGCGCGTGCCGTATCGATACTCTGAGCTTCGGATTCGCTCACACCACCGCGTTGCAGCCATGACCTCGCCTCGTCCCATCGACGTAGGAGCTCCTGGACTGGTCGAATTTGATCGAGTAGAGGGATAACCCAGAGCGGGAGGCGGAGTGCGGACGACACACGTAGCGAATGGTAGCCTTGCAAGTTGGCGTCCGCGAGTTGGCGACGGAGTGTTACAGCATGACGACTGGCCCAGACCAGGTCAAGATGCAGGCGCGAGAGTTCGCGCGTGAAGCTCATCTCGTTGGCAGGTGTGAGTAGTGAGTTGGGCTCCTCGGCGACAAGGACGGGGCACTCTTCGTCAAAGTGCAAAGTCAAGCGCCCTTCGGCCCGCTTCAATAGATCGATCGAGATCTTCAAGCTTGCCCCCAGCTTCAAAACAAGCATACAGGCAGTGTCCCAGCCAGCTCAGCGTAGCAGCATCCGGTTCAGATGCTGTGTCCACGGCTCCTTGATAGAGATCGATGGCAAAGTGAAGACACGCGACGTCCCTCGTTCCCTCATAACGAGTGTATGCATTGCAGGCGGCACGAACTTTGCTCGGCTGCCGGTCATTGCGTGGCGGAGGGTGTGCAGTCTGGAGCAGACTGACAGAAAGTTCGGCGAGTACAAATCATCATTCGATGGCTCACCTGGGAAAGCGGGGTTGATATATATGCTCCAGATCGATCATGCTGGCCCTCCATGCTGATGAATGTCTGCCTGGATGGTCGTAGCTTCAGTATACGATGCTAGCATGCCTGAAGGAAGCGTGGCACTTACGTAGGGTTGAGGGGCAAGACGAAGGCGCTTAAAAGCTCGATTGGAAGAATGATGCTATGGTAGAAATATGGAAGTGGTTGAATCGGAGGCCGATCTGACCGTAGCATGCTGTGTGGGCAGTCGAGTACAGCCTCACATGCAGCATGCAAGCAGACTCATGACGTGAGAAGCCTGTCGCTTATCTGTGTATTTGAGCGACTAAGACTCGGTGGTGAGGTTCACGAATGGACGAGCTATGCAGCTTGTGCCCAAGCCCTCGACGCAGACGGGCTATTCATTTTGGTCAAGGCGATATATTCAGTGCAGAGCAGCGGACCACACCATGGCCCATGACGGCGGGAGGAGACTGTCGCCGCGAGGCGCTCCCAGCCTCCTCACGCGATGACCACCATCATGTTTGCCCCTCCGCTGAGCCCCCTTCATCAACCACAAATGGCGACGAGCCTCGCTTTCACGATATTACCGGTGCTCTTACGAGCAGCAATACCTCATTGGGATCGTCACCTATCGTCGCCCTATCGACGGTTGCCACCAACTCTACCTATCATGGGTCCCCACGAGGCCATCGGTTGTATAGCACGAATACGGAGATGTAGAGAGGTGGTAGAGGATGTGTGTGCGAGGAGAAAGACAGGTGGGATAGACAAGTACGCACACAGCTCCCCTGCCGCAGCGAGTTGTCAACTGATCAAATCGCCAGGCTAGACAATATCTTTTGTAGAACTCATCCCTCGAATATACTTCGTTGCGCTAGTGCTATCTTGAGGTTGACCGTACCGATGCGCGATGCGCTCGATATAATAGGTGCAAGCCAGCGTTCTACTTGAGGCAGTCAAGGTCGCCAGAAGCCTCGACGCCCTGCCAGGACCTCCTTCCAGGAAAGCGCACTTTGTTTGTAACGACTAGCCGTCTGGGCTGTGCACGCATCCGGCGGGACGTCGTATTAGTCGAGCTTATGCGCGGACAGCGCATGAGAATCCAATACTCTGGTCGCACGCGAAGAATTGGTACGCGAAGGTGGGCCCATCTCTCGAGCACACCAACATAGGCGGATAGAGCTAAACAAACGCCCTAGAACGGCGAAGTCAATCTATATACCGAAATGTACGAACGGTGCCCATCGAACGACGTCCGACTCCCCGACTTCTTCCCTCAGTCGCTTCGTCTCCTCATGCAGCGCATACGCCGCGCCCGTATCCCCCTTCTCGAGCATCCCCAGTGCACGAAGCTCAAGCAGCTTCCTGTAGTACGTCTCGACGACCAACGGCGCGTCGTCGTCGCGTATCGACCACATTGTCGCGACAACACCCTTGTACCCGACGGCGAGCATACTCGCTGTGAGGTGCATCGACTCTTCGGGGATCTTCTCCTCACCGACGGCGGTCTGGCATGCGGAGAGTAACGCGAGCTCGGCGCTATCAGCGGTAGTTGCCATTAGGTCGGAAAGCGAAAGCGGGCCATCGTACAACGGGAATGTGCTCTTCAGGTGTTGTACTGTGATGGCGCGGACCAGGTCATCGGGGTCGCCGAGATGCTCGAAACGACGGCGGAAATACATGCTGAGGTTATTCAGATGGACGGCTTTATCGGGCTGATCGTCCGAAGTGAGCGAGTTCGCGCGATCTTGTCCCGCAACAAGCCTGAATTGGGCTGGAGGCGGGGGACATACCACGGCGACGCGCTCTCGCGCTCTGTGCTGGGCCACATTTCCCCACGTGGCAAAGGTTGAATAGCGCGCACGCGTACAGTGCACGTATCCTCTCGCCGCCACACGACTTCAGCCAGCCCAGGATGGCGGCGCCGCCCTCCAAAACACCTTCTCGTATGGTCCCCCGCACTTCTCTCTCGACTTCCAAACCCCGGACTGGTTCCGTCTCGACCGTGACCCCGCTCTCTGGTGCAACGAACTCCCGCCCGGGCGACATCAGTCGCACAAACTCTACTGGACCTACGAGTTTCAATGCTGCGAAAGGACTCAGTCTGGTTACGGAGACTGGCAGTATCAGTGGAGCGCGCTCGCCGAGCGTCAGCGTCGCGAACAGGCGGCTGAGCGCGATTCCTACCGCTGGATTGACGACCGGCTCGCGCTCGCCAAACAAGCCCATGTCCATGCTCACAGGCGTAGGATTGCCCTCTCTCGCCCCACGCATTTTGTCATCAGCCTCGACGGTCTCCGCTTCATTATCGAGTAATAGGCAGCACACTCCTCGTGCCTTCTCGTTCGCACTCAAACTCTACCTCGAACTCGCTGTCCACTTCTTCTTCGGCATATTCGGCATATTTGCTGTGCTCGGCATTCTCTATGAAGGATTTGGAGAGGGAGAGGGAGGATATCAAACCGCCGAGCCCAGTTACGGCTGTACCCATTGCGCCGGCCACAGCCCGCGCATGCGTTCGGTCACTCGGTCCTATGGCTTCACTGTTGAACACTCTTGGCCTTAAGGGCAGGCTATCGACCACCGCGAAAGTGAAGGGTTGCCCCGCAACAGGCAAGGGCAGTCCGGCTGCTGCGAAGGGTAGCCCAGCTGCGAAGAACATGCCCAGTGGCCCGAGCTTCACGCTCACGACGCCCTTGCCTCAAGCCAAGAAACGCCAAAGCACCTCTCCATCAGTCGTCGCGCACGTGTCACCCGGTCAGAACGCCACTCCTCGCAAGTCCAGCGCTGGTTCTATCGGTGTAGGCGCTTCACCGCACAAGATACCCGGCAGCGGGCGTAAGAGCAAAGGAAGCGGTGCGAGTGTAATGGTGTTTGCTGGCAACGAGGGTGCGAATATGACCATGATGCTTGGGAGTAGCATTATGAGTGGAATGGATGAGAGTGTATGGGGTGGTGGGGAAGACGATGGGATGACGCTTGAGAGGGTTACCGAGGAAGGCGAGGGCGGCGTTGACGAGGAGGTACACGTATCCAAAACTTTGGGCTGGAGCCTGGCTAACATCCTGATATCTAGTTTGAAGCTGTGCTCGATGAGCTCGCAAACCAACACGCTCGAGCTTTACAGCGCCACCAATGTCTACTTGAGTGGACGCAGGCGACCAGCACGGCTCAGCTACACGCTATGCAAGCCGAGGTAGTTCTCCCTCCAATGGTGCGACGTACTCGTTACCAACTGCTATACGTAGATTCGCCTTCTACGCACTTAAGCCGGGCTTGTGACCTTCGACACGATTGCGCACGTGTCGTGGCGGGCCGGTTTACCCGTCGAGGCGTGCGAAATCTCGGCAAAACGCAAAGCGGCCGAGGCGGCCGAAGGGAGGCGTGGAGGCTGCGTGGAAGTGAACCACCACCAGCACCCCCGCCTCGCTTATGGCGTCTTCAACCTGCCTCCTTTTTTCGTGTGTGGCCCCACTGTCGAGGGCCGTACACCCGGATGCTAGGTCCCCGCCCCTGCCCCAAACCTGGCCAAGGACGGCGAACTCGCGGATAGCGCGGCGGCCTCGATTTGGAGGCGACTCAAGCTGCAAATGATGAGTGTGGGAACTACGTACCCATACGCAATGTTCCGCTCGTGTTCAAGATGCCTTCGGACCACCGCCGCCGCCACCACACACTGGAGCGCGTCGAAGATGCGAACGAGGTACGTACGCCTTTCCCTCTTGTACTACTCAACTATGGTCTTATTCCTTATCTGTCTTGGTGCAGATCATCAACAGTTTGCGGGCGGTGTACCGCGGTGGGCCTCTTTCGGCCCGGGGACACACCCGGCACACTCGTCGGCGAGATTGGCTCGCTTGACATCGTGGCCTCGCTCTGCTCGGGCCGCCAGGCCGCCATCATGCCCGCAGGCGCTCATCAGTACTGTCTGCACGATCGGCGCCACGCCTCCTGGCCACGCGCGCCCGTCGAGCACAAACCCAGCACGCTCGTCGGCGAGATTGGCTCGCTCGACATTGTGGCCTCGCTCTTTTCGGGCTGTCAGGCCGCCATCATGCTCACGCGTCTCGGTACTACCGGCACAATCGATGCCGCGCCTCCTATCGCGTCGGGTACCGCGGAGCACACCCAGGTTGTCATCAACGCACAGGCCGTGCCAGAGTTCATCAACCTTCTCTCTTCGCCCATGACAGATGTTTGCGAGCAGGCAGTCTGGGCGCTCGGCAATATCGCTGGTGACAGCCCCCGGTGCCGCGATTACGTTCTCAAGGCTGGTGCGCTTCGTCCGCTCCTTGCCCTCCTTAGCGAGAACCACAAGATCAGCATGCTTCGCAACGCGACCTGAACGCTTTCTAACTTCTGCCGTGGCAAGAACCTGCAACCTGACTGGGAACTGGTATGTTTTGTTCATCTTCTTATTGTGTGGCGCATCTTCATTGACACGCAGTGACTGCATAAGAAATCACTCCGATAGTCATGTCTAGTCATGGCAAAAGTCATACATGCCTAGTCCATATAGCCATGGCC